AGGATGTTTTCTGGTCGCGTTAGTAGTCATGATCAAATTAGAAAAGTACAATTTGAAAGATTATCCATCAGGTTCACCTTTCCACTTCCACTCTGCACTTTCCTCCATGCATTCAGGACAGACTTAAATTCATGTCAGTTTCGCAGACAGAGAGTGTACGAGAAGAGGGCACTGGCTAGTATTCAGAATATTCGGTAACACTGGGAGGGACATGAGCACAATGTACCTGCTGCATTGAAAGCTGTGTCTATTACCTCATTCAATCTTCTTAATAGCTCTAGGGGTACTGCTAACATCTCCAATTTATAAAGAAACAGGAGCACAGAGGTGGTAAATGGCAGAGGAAGACTGAAGGCAGGCTCCAGGGCTGACATTGTTACCTACTGTGATTGGTTTACGAGGATTAAGATAAGTGAGGTTATGCGTCCATCTGGAACACCAACACAAACACAAGAGACTGTTTCTTCTTCAGGCACTACGTGTGGTGTGTCTAGGTGGCTCTCCAGAGGAGCAGCCCTTCACGAGATTGCTCAGCATTTTAAGCCAGTTCCATCTAAAGGGCAACTCAAAGGCCACATTTGCTTCTCAGTTTCCTGTGGTAGTGGAAGAAAAGGGGCATGGAGAAATGCATATGGATTCCGTTTTCTTTCTATTTTTTAAAGAGTTTTGTTGGCATAGAATTCGCGGACCACACAATTCAATAGTTAAGTCACATCAAGAAGAGTTGTACAGGCATCACCACCATCAGTTCTAGAACATTCTCTTCACTCTTGCATTTGTTGTTTGCTTCCCATTTCCCCCCATCTCCCTTGCCATATCCTCAGGAAACCATTAATCTAGTTATTGAACCTACAGATTTGCCTACATTGGATTTCATGTACCGCAAAAACATACAAAGCAACAACCGCAAAACTAACAATAGTAACAAAGTAAAATGAAGACCTCAATAGACAATAAAACAGAAAACTAGAACAAATTTAAAGTGGATCAAAAGGGGCATCAAAGGAGGTGTTAAATTATAACCTATTTGCATCTGTACTAGTCTCCTTTCCAATGATAGCAAGGCTATTCACATCCTGCTCCACAGTCAGAGGGGATTCATTAGAGGTTTAATGCATGTGTAGTTCCTTTATTTTTTTAAAATGGGAACAACTTTAAGATGGATCAAAAGGGAGATGTAATGATAAGATATTTCATTTTAACTAACTATATCTGCCATAATTGACTTTACAATGCTCTCTGTTTGATAACAAGGCTATTCACATCCCTCAACTGTGGTCAGAGGGGATTCATGGAGACTTAGTCCATGTCACATTGACTCTTCAAGGTTTCATCCAGAACTCACATTCCATTGGCTGAGGCAGGTCATGTGGCAATGTGCTACTCCAGGAGACAGATAAATAGGATCCTTGTACGTGGATGGAAGCGAGAAGAACGCAGCTTATTTGTGACTCTCTGAATGTCACCATGGCCTCGCTCTACCACTGACGCTGTGGACCCTCAACAGGCCCTCCGCTTCCTTTAACCCGAGCATCTGGAAAAGGGCAGCTGTTATTCATCTATTAAATTCTTACCTATTATTTATTGAAGCCTACCATGTGGACACTGACAATACAATGATGAACATGGCATCATCTTGAGTATGGTTTTCAGTTCTAAAATCTCAAGATTAAATTAAGAAATAAATCACAATAACAAAGCCTCCAAAGTGTCATGGTCTCAGAACTCCAGCACTTTCTTAAGAGCTCCTCTCTTCTTGACTACCTTGAGACCCGTGGCCACAGTGTAACTCCACCATAGTCCATCACTTTCAAATATTGTGTGTGAACCATTCTTCCAGCTATTTTGAATTGAATATGTGGAACATTTCATTTTTAAAAAACAGAAGAAAATCAACTTATTGAGAAATATCTGGACAGATGACTTTGTCATATAATTTACATTCATCTATGGAAGTGTGTTTCCATTATTCAGGAATACACCACCTTATAAAACTTTAGAAATTCCCAAATAAGAATTTACAGTTAATGTTCCCCTAGCGGAATATTCCGTGATGTAAAATAGCAGGAATATGAGTAAGTATACTTGTAAGCATTCATAAAAGTTGCTAGCCAACTTAAAAATATTTATTTTAGTCTCTAAGGACTTGAAGTGCCAAGTTTTAATATACTAGTTGCCTTTATTTTAAATAGGATACACAATGGAAAATGTGTTAAGAATGGAAGGTATTGTCTTTCCACCTGACACAGCAGTTTCGAATTGGAATGAACCCTGCAGAGAAATGCACTTTCCTTTACACTGATACAATTGTGGTGCTTCTTTTCTTTGTAACACAGTACATGGAATTCCTAGTCCAAAGCCGAAACAAAGCAGTGATGCAACAATTGGCTGTCTTCAGCCTGACAGACCATTGTAAACACACTTCTAGTTAATCATACCCATTCTCATTCTCTGACGTTCCTCAACACTTAAGAAAGATTGCATTAGTTTCACTTTACTGTTGTGTTTCACCCGTTCATTTACTACTTGCTTGCACTTTGAATGTATTTTATATGGGCTGTTTGCTCCCTTTCTCAATAGGGAAACCAGGGCCAGAGTTCATGCTGCAGACTCTTGGGACTTCTGAGGTTGCTCAGTAAGTACCGTTGCTTACTGTTGGAGTTTCTGAAGGCAAAAGAAGATCATCTGGGCCTCTGAGGATGGAAAATTCTTTTTTTTTTTTTGTGGAAAATTCTTAAAAAGACAAACTGGTAATGTTTACTAAGGAGTGATCAAGAAGAAAGTATTCTTATTAAAAGGGGGAAGTGATGGATACTTCCGTGGCAGAATTCTTGCCAGTGCTGGTGGAGTAGTGGTTATGTGTAGGGGTGCTAACTGCAAGGTCATCAGTTTGAAACCACCAGCTGCTGTGAGGGAGAAAGATGAGGCTTTCTGTTCCCATAAAGAGTTACAGTCACGGAAACCCACAGGGGCAGTTCTACCCTGTCCTTTGGGGTCACTATGATTCATAATTGACTCCATGGCAGTGAGTTTAAGTATGTTTCTGTTTTTTGGTACTGATGCATCTGCTGTGCAGCCCCACCCACCCATCAGGGGATGCAGTGCCTTGTTGGTTGCTGAAGAGGTTTCAGTGGTGCTTTTAGCAGAAGATGGACTAGGAGAGAAGATCCAGCGATCTAACCCCAAAAAGAGTCCATGAAAAACATTGGAACATTGGACCTCCATTCAAGTGCTCCCTCAATGCAAGAACATTTTGCTGTATTAAACTGGCATTCCATGAAGCTCACCTTCCCGACATGATCACTGAAGACAAATGGGTGCATAAGCAAATGTGGTGAAGAAAGCTGATGGTGTCCAGCTATCAAAAGATATGGTGTCGTGGGTCTTAAAGGCTTGAAGGTAAACAAGTGGCCATCTAGCTCAGAAGCAACAAAGCCCACATGGTAGAAGCACATGGTAGAAGCCTGCATGATCACAAGGTATTGAAGGGATCAGGTATCAGGCATCAAAGAACAAAAAATCAAATCATTGTGAATGAGGGGGTGTCCAGATTGGGGACCCAAGACCCATCTGTAGGCAACTGGACATCCCCTTACAGAAGGGTCGCAGGGAAGAGACGAGCCAGTCAGGGTGCAGTGTAGCAATGATGAAACATACAACTTTCCTCTAGTTCCTAAATGCTTCCTCCCCTTTGCCTCCCTCCACCACTATCATGATCCCAATTCTACCTTACAAATCTAGCTAGACCAGAAGATGTACACTGGTACAGATAGGAACTGGAAATACAGGGAATCCAGGACAGATGACCCCTCCAGGAGCAGTTGTGAGAGTGTTGATACCAGGAGGGTGCGGCTGAAAGGGGAACCAATTACAAGGATCTACATGTGACCTCCTCCCTGGGGGATGTACAACAGAAAAGTGGATGAAGGGAGACGTCGGACAGGATAAGATATGATAAAATAATAATTTACAAATTATCAAGGGTTCATGAGGGAGGGAAGATGGAGGAGGGAGGGGGAAAATGAGGAGCTGATACCAAGGGCTCAAGTAGAAAGCTAATGTTTTGAGAATGATGATGGCAACAAATGTACAAATGTCCTTGACACAGTGGATGTATGTATGGATTATAATAAGAGTTGTACAACCCCCCAATATAATGATTAAAGAAAGAGTCCATGAAAAACCTACGGATCACAGTGGTCCAATCTGTAATTGATCATGACCATGGTGCAGGATATCAAGTGCTAGGACCCTCAAAGCCACATCTCCTGTTCTACCTTTTTTTGAAGTCCAAGCTGACAGTTCAACCCCCATCATCACCTGGCCATCCACACAACCAGCTGCGACTCCCAGTGCACAAAAGCATTCTTTCAGGATGGCGTCACCATACATTTGGCTACATGAGGGGCATGGGAGTTATCCTCCGTTTTCCCATTTTTCTTACCAGGACCAAGTCCTGCTGATTTCATTCCTTCGGGAGCTTTCTAGTCCATTCTTTGCCTACAACATCCCAGGTATTGTGTTAGTCTAGGCTTTCATTTCAGACTTAGCGCAATGGCCTCCGAAACAGCCTTCTTATTTCCAGTTAAGCTTTCTCCAAAGAGTTCTGCTGTGTCTGGGCTCATGGCTTCTCTACACAGTCCGATCATGATGGTGTGATTCCACTGCGGGCCGAGTCCTTCTGGAAAGCAGCGGGGTTCGGTTCCACATTTTGGTCCTTCCACAGTGCTACGGATTGGACGTGCCCCCTCCAGTCCAAACGTGCCCCCTCCAGTCCAAACAGGCTTACAAAGCTGACACTGGCCATATTTGTTTCTATTTATTTTTACCTGTTAGTATAGTTTTGGAAGATGAGCTACCTAGATAAAAGACACTCAAGACACACAGAGACTACAACAATGGATCCAAACAAGATAGTAATTGTGAAAATGGCATAGGATTAGGGCATCTTTTGTTCTGTTGTACTTCACAGCAACCAAGAACAGGAAATAGACACTTACCTTTTGACAAGGAAATGTGGACGCCAACATAGCTGTTTCAAAACTGTGAGCGCCCTCTTCTTGGGTCCTCTCCCACAGAGCTCTGAGAAACTGCACAGAACGACTTTGTATGGACAGGGGCTCTGGAAACAGGCTCTGGAAGGGGAGGAAAGAGGAAAGCACAGCAAGTTATCATACCTTGTTGTTTGACTGTTGGCAAGGCACTATCTAGGCGTGGCTTGAGCCTTAACACAGTTTAGATTTAAATGAAAGAACAAAGAGATGCATCTTTAAGGTCAAGCGCATGATTCATCTTAGGCTGTTTATTTATTTTAACATAAATTAATATGATTTTTAAGGGTTTTAAAGATGGTTGATATCAATCTCTATAAAGTATGCCCTAAACTTTTTAATATAGAATCTACTGAGATGAATTTCAAAACGTTTACTTAATGGGAAAATTTGTTATATAAATATTAATCTTTATTTAATCAAAATCTGGAAATGAAGGTATAAAATTAAACTAGCGTAAAATATCATCTATGAATACAGTGCAGGCTACATAAAATGGGAATTAAATAACTATGAATTCATTCTGTGATAACTCAAATATAATTAGTGTGGGCTATTGTAAGGGGAAAACAAAAATATTTTATCTTAAAATATTTTAATTTTAAAATGCATAATGAATGATGATTCTTATAGCATTGCGAGTATTTCTCTAACTATTGAACTATATTATCAATGCAAAGAAAATCGCATTTATAACTGTTTTACTGAAGTCCATGAAAAGCAATTTTTCAAAGGCAGATTTAAACTTTTGTTTATATGTTTGCTATTCAATGGTGGCGGGGGAGGTGCTAATAAAATGTGAGATGTCTTTCAATTCCAGCTCAGTTTTATAAATATATAGAGAGGACATCTATAAAAGCACAGAAAAAGTATACAAAATGCCATTCATATACATGTATATTGTCCTTCATAAGTGAGGTATGATATAATGAGATTGGCTTATAAAATCATATTTAATATGCCCATGGTTAGTGAATCCAAATACTCCCATTACATTGAAATGTACAAAGATATTATTGTCCACAAAGTCAATTTCCTAAAGATAAATACTACACGACACCACTATTCTAAAGGGAAAAGCTAAGGAAAATGGTTTTCCCACAGAAAGAACAGACTTTGGAGGCTACTGTGAAGTGAGGCTATGGGAGGAGAAGGAAGCAGGCATGGGAGGAGGAGAGGAGAGAGCTTACCAGGATACTGTCCCTATTCTAATGAATTGGGCTGTACAACAAACAAACAAACAAACAACAATCAAATGAATGAATATGGACATTAGGTGATGACAAGATGTGTGTGTGTGTGTATAATCACCTACAGAGCTTTTGTGAGTTTCCAAGGCTGGGGTCCCATCCTGCAAATTTTTTTTTAATGTAATGGGTCTGCAGAGCCCCCAGGCACTGGTTGGGGGCTTCTTGTATGATTCTACACTACAGTGATGAGGGAGAAAGATAATTCTAAAGTCTGGTTTCCCAAAGTCCCTGACCAAATTCACCATTGACCAAAGCCCATAAACGTGCATTGTCTCCTGCTTTTTTGTTGTTGTTACTTATTTTGCCTACCAATAGCAGCTGATAGTCAGCTACTTCATGTACAATCCATATCTTTTCACTTCAACTTCGTTATTCAGCCATTTGATAAGTCTGTGTTGGGCACTGTGCCAGGCAGAGAAGGATTTAGTCTGCACAGGGACTAACTGGAGTCCCCTGGGTGATGCAAATGGTTTTTTGGTTTTTTTTTAAAGTAAGGCTTTAGGTGATTGGTGTGGGCAAACTTTTTTTTTTAGTGAATGGAAATGACAATCTTTCTTTTACTTTGTACACTTCTTTAACACTGCACGGAAAGATCCAGACAAGTCTCATTATTACTACGGCTGGTAGCTAGATGGTTTTATGTCAACGACACTCCTGGCTAGAGGTGGAGCCCAACCTGGTGATCAGGTCGCAGCCTGAGGTGACCTCAGAAGGAGGACCCTGGGAGCCTCCTTCTCACTCTGCCACTCTGCCTTCCTGCTCGCTGCCCCTCGCGTGGCCACCCTGAGCGTTGCCGGTGTCCTGCTGTTTCCACCGACCTTGGACCCACGCAAGTGCACCCACTGGCCCATGGTCTTCCTGCGTTCTGCATCATTGTATGTGGCTCTGTGAGTCTGAAGGGGGACTTCTGGACTTGACTTGCACAGGGCTGAGACCCTTTCTTGACATATAATTACTTCTTGATATAAAGCTCTGTCTTATACTTACATGAGTGTCATTGGATTAGTTTCTCTAGTCAACCTGGCCTAACGCACTATTGAATTGAACCATCTCTTCTATTTAGTGAGACTGGATGGATGGTTTGAGTTTCAAATAAAGGCTCCCCAGATATTAAAGGTTTAAGAGCCAGTGCAAGAGGTAGGTTTGTTGTGCCAACATGGCCAATGAACACATGTGAGATTAATTAAAGGGCGGAGCGATAAATGGCTCAGCGAGCCTCACCTCTCTTT